AGAAACAGATGAAATTAAATTTCATATTTTATTTAACCCAATATATCAAAAATATAATTTCAACATGTAATCAATATAAAAATTATTAATGCGATTTTAACATTCTTTTTCATACTAATTCTTGGAAACCTGGCATGCATTTCCCACTTACAGCACATCTCAATTTGGACCAGCCACATTCAAGAGCTCAACAGCCACATATGGCTTCTGGCTACCCTATTGGACCGTACATTTCTAGTACCATCTAGAAAATGGTAATGAGCAAGGAAAATTGCTTAATTTAGTAGAAATCCAGAAAATCCAAGGTTGGAAATAGTTATCTCAAGGGTCTGGAACAGACTTTAAAAATCACTAGTCCTAATATTCACTTGATATTTGAATCTTTTCTATAACATCCCTATCAAGGGATCATCTAGACTATTGCTTGACTCACACTTCCAGGGACGATGAGCTCACTGCTTCCTGAGGCTAGCCAGTCCATTTGGGGGCAGTCTTAATTCAAAAAGTTCCTGGCTAAGGGTACTAGCAGGTGGGTTTATGGTGGTCTGAGGAATTTAGTTGGGTTGGGTAATCTTAAAGGGTTAGTTGGGTTAGGAAGTATTGGAGGAGTTAAGAACTAAAAAAACATGCTGGAAGGTTGGGATAGGAACAGTTAGACTGCAGGCTGAGATGGACATCTGGTTAAAACCGTCAGCTACACTGCAATAAGAGTAACGTCAAAAAAAACTATGTATATATGCTAACTTCACTAATCTGTAGATAAAGTCATTTGGACAATAATTTGAATTGTTATAAACTTTTAAAATTTTCACAGTAGAGTAAAACATAATTAACTGGGTTATAATTAATGAAGGACATCATTTTATTAGACCTGTATTACAAATAACATCATCCTAAATCTTAAAGCACTTTATCAAAAGAATTAATTTTCAGACCCAGAAATCAAAGGCACTTTCAATTCTTATTCCCTATCTCGATTTTGTTTTAACCTTTTCCTTACTCAAAAACACTCTGGAAATCAGAGACAGAAAACTTTTTTAAAACTTCAGTAAAAATGACACCAACTACCTGAATTATCATGAATTCTGACTGGGTGGCGCTTGAAATAATACATTTTTGCTATATTTGCATTTCTTCTGTTTCTTTTTTTTTTTTTTTTTCTTGGTAATGAGAAGGTGTTCTTTTCCGGGCCACCTTCACCCTCCCGCTCTCCCCAAGTCTACCTTTCCAGGGCAGGGGAAGGTGCATCCTCGCCAGGGCTCCTGCCAGCGCCTCCCTAGGACCTCTGGCCAGCCGCCGGTGCATCGGCGCGCCCTGGACATCCATTAACGTTTTATACTACATCTCGGCCACCGCCGGAGCTTCTCCTGTTTGTTTACCGCGGCCCCACGCTCCCCCACCCGCCTGCACCCTGTCAACGGCACTTAAGGGGAAAATTTTGGAACAGAAGCCCCGCCCATCCCCATCCCTCCCGCCTCTACAAAACCGGCTAAAACACCCCACCTCGGGCCACCGAAGTAGTTTTGCCACAAGATCTGGGGTACTGTATTTTTCACAAGAAAACAAGCGTCCAAAGAAAAAAATTCAAACTGCTCGCGCAGGCCAATGGGGAAGAAGCGGGAGGTGGGCGGAGGAAGTGCGCGGCGGGCGGGGCGGGCGCGGGGGCTGGTACCGCAGGGGATTCGTAAAAACGCGGCGGGCGCAAGGTTTGGGGCTTTTTTTTTTTTTTTTTCCTCCAAAACTAGCTAAAGCGCGAGACTCCGCCTGTGGCTGCAGCCTCTCGGATCCACCTTAAATCTGCAGTGGACTCGGCGCAGGGGTCAGTGGGCGCAGCCAATGCCAATCAAGTTTACAACCACCAGCACGGGAGGGAAAAAAGAGAGGAAAAAAAATAATCTTCAAGTTCTCTAGTCCACACACACAGTCACACGGACGCACGCACACACATACACAAGCACACAAAAGGAAGGAGGGGGTGGGCGGACGGGCGCTCGAGAGAGGGGGAAAAGGTTTGCAAAATGCTCGTTGGAGGCTCCGCGCCCGTGGCCCGTGCGCTCGGGGAAGGCGCGCGGGAAGCGCGGCCCGGCCCGAGCGCCATGATGGTGGCCGCGGTTCGGAGCCCATTTTCTGGAGGGGGAGCTGCAATGATGCAATCCCCCGGCCCCGGCTCGGCCGCGCGCCCTGCTCCTGCCTTTTCTTAACGTTCCTTTTGAGGCGCGTCGACGTTTCGCGCCCAACGCGCACCGATTTCTTTTTGTAATTTTTACTAATTCCTGCCTCCTCTGTGTGTGTCCCCACGCGAGACGGGCCGGGTCCGCGGACGGCCGCACGGGGACTGGAGTTTACGTGTAAATACACTTTCGGTTCTGCGGCGTCCGAGGCTCACCCCACCCCGCCCCACGCCACCCCCACGCGAGCCGAGATCCAGGAGGGTCCCCCTCAACCCGCCGCGGGGGCTTTTCTCGCCTGACCCCGAGCCCTCTCAACCCCAGCTTCACTTGCAGGATTTTCACCTTATTTTTGGCGGGCAGGGAGGGGGTAGCGGGCGTAGGGTGTGGCTCAGGTGAAAGAGATGGCAAATTAAAAAAAGAAATTCACACTCTGAAAAACAGATTAGAGACCCCAGACAAGATTTTAAAACACCTTTTTCAATCCACAGAAGCTTATGAAGAGCAAGTGTCTGCGCTAACGATGATGAAGATGAAATGGCGAAGGCAGCGTTCCCAGGCCGCCGGGAAAGGTCGCTCGGCGCGGCCGGGGCGGTGGGCGCACCGCGGCCTGACAGGCCGCCCGCCCCGCTCACCTTCTGTTGATTTCCACAGTCCCCCTCGTCCCCCAATCATGCCCCTGGACCCACATGTCCCTAGTTCTTTCCTGCCCCAGTCCCCCGCTCTGGGCAGCCGGGGATGAGATGCGGGGACTTTGCAAAGCGGGTGTAAGGGAGGAAGCGACCCCCGCCAGCGGCCGTGGCGCTCGGCCCGTCCTGCGCGCCGCTGCGGCCCTCCTCGGCCGCCGGCGAGCCGGGAAGCCTTTCGAAATGCGCGGGGCTGCGGATCATTGGAGCCCGGGGTGGGGGTGGGAGCGGGCTGCTGCCCTGGAGGGTCCACGAATTCGGCAAGGTTCTCCTCTTCGCTCAGCTCCCCTCACCGCTCTGGAGTTGGCAGGGGACTCATGTGAAGGGTCTCCTTGTGGAGAGGAATGGGGCTTTCTCTTCTTTCTAGGTCCGGAGGAGAGATGATGAGGGAGGCAACTTTCTGAGAAACCGCCCAGCCCCGCTGCGCCGCCCGAGGCGCAGCCACCTCCACGGCCTGCGGGCGCCCCGGGCGCGGGAACTGCGCGCAGCGACCCGGGCGGTGCGGGAGCCGCAAGTTGCAGACGAGGAGCGAGACTTGATGGCCTTCTCGTCCCGAGGCGCCAGCCAGCCGGACCCGCAAGAGCCGCAGCGGGCGGGCGCCGGGCTGCGGGGTGGTTTGGGGAGACGACGGCGCAGTGGCCCGGGTAGCGGGGCAGGAGGTGGCTGGCGCCGGCGGCCGCATCCCCTCGGAGGGACGCCCGCGGCGCACCCCGCGGTATGGGTAGGGGAGAGGACGCCCCAAATCGGGGGCATACATTTGGAGACTTGACACAGACGTGTGAAGGACCGACACGGTGACTTGGGGGCTGCGTTCCTGTAAACGTGCCTGGCGCGGTGAGCATCCACTTCTTCCTGGCCCAGCACTCCTAAAACGCAATCTCTAAAAATTCACATTAAAGATGCCTCTTTAGGAAAGGAAAATGGGGAACATGTAGCAATTAAGAAGATTTTTCCCTCAAAGACACTTTTTAAAGTACCCTTTTTGGTTCAGAGAAACCTTAATTTTATTTCATTTCCTGACTCTCCACTCCTTCCTCCCTATTTTGAATGGTTTTTCTTGCTTTCTCAGTCTCTTCCTGAAAAACACCCTGTACTCATGTTTTGAATAGAATCACAAAAACACTTTTAGTCTTTAATTAAAATAATACCTACTTGGAAGATGTGGCCCAACCACCAAAACACCTACTTTTCCCTCCCCAGCAGCCGAAGAGTCGACTCTGCTTAAAAAAAAAAAAAAAAAAAAAGCAACTTCGGGTTAAAATAAGCTGAGACGATCTTGTTTAGAGCCCCTTTTGGGGTGCAATAATGTAAATACAAGCATTTGAGGAAAACAAATTAACCTAAATTCAAATTTTTGCTATTTAACCATTTGCAGATTCTTAGAAAAAATAATTTACTTTTTACACCTTAACCACATTTTTGAAGAGAATGTGAAATTACAGGAATTGTAGTAAATTTGACTTTAAAATGCATTAAAAAAATTCTTTTCTTAAATAAAAAAATATCTTTCTCTGCTATGTGGCTATGGGAACCCCAATCCCTCAGATTTGAGATTTAAATTAGCCAGTTTTTGGTGGTGTAAATTATAACCAGGAAATTCAGAAATTGTGGAATTTGTGTATGATGACCAGTTTAATTTGAAGAATACCTGTTCTATCTAAATTAGCGTGGAATGCAGTCTAATTTCTAAGGGACCTATATATCCAAATATTTTGGACAAGAGGTGTAGATTAAATGCTCTGAACAATTGCTCTAATTCCCCAGATTTTGCATGTGTAAATACAGAATTTACAGAAGTCACCATGTTAGTTTCATTTTCAATCCTGCAAATGTGTGATCAGTCTACACTTATGTAAGAATTTTTAGTTCTGACACATTCATATCCTAGAAGACATAAATATCTGAACTAATGTAGACAATCTTATTTATATGAAAATGTGGCTTTTCCACTTTACACTTCTAAAGCTTTGTCCACCCATACAGAACTAAGTGGAAAATAGTGACTACGGACCCACATGAACATCATCTGAGATGCAGGCCTGAATTATCTAGGTATCTACCAGTTCATATATATATTGTGTAACTATGACTAGAACCCCCAGGTCAAATACGTCAAGCCTAGTAAACACATTATAGTTCAACTCAGTGAATAGCTATGGAAGTTTTCTTTATTGATTGTTTGATGGGTAACAATAATTGGCATCTTTTTCACACATTACAAAAAATTATACTTGGCTCAGTATGCAACCTTTTAAGCACAGCCATATTACTTAACAAGAAGGGAAAAAAACCTATTCTACCCAATACAGCATTTACAAATGCACAGAACATGCCACTTTGGCTTGTATATGGTCTAGATTAAAAAAAAAAAAATCTCTTTTTAACATAAATAAGTTAGTATAATTTTCAGTGTCTTTACAGAGTTATGTACACAGGTACACTTCAAATGGTTCTGTTTCATACACATACACAGGCAATGTAAAATACTGTTTAAAGATGTCATATCCATTTCACTTAACCCACGAATGTACTTTTCTCTACACGCACTTTCCTTTAAAAACACCACTTTCTTTTGGGCAAATAAACAGAATGAGAAGTTTTAAATTAAAAATTATTTCATTTTTTTAATGTGAAGTTACTTATACTTTTAAAAAATATCCAAGGATTTAGAATTATTTTGACTGTGTCTACTAAGCCCAAAATAAAAAGAAAATTAAGAAATTTTTCCAACGAATCTGATAAAAATTAGCTGGTCAATTTTGAGCATGCAGAACTTCCCCCATACACCCCAAATTTTTGTCCAGAATTACCTGGAGGGATGACCTAACTGGTGAACAATTAACTGGTAAATTACAATTTTAACAGGGACTTGGGGGGAGCACTGAGAAGGATAGTTTGTTGTTGTTGTTGGTTAAAAAAAAAGAGCCATTTGCTGCTACCTAACGGAATCATCACAGCTCCCAAATGAGAATAAGCTTCATGTAAAAATAAATAGCAGTTACTTGTAGCCAGTGTTGAAATTTGGATGATTTTTAAAATGAAGTATCAGTTCTTACTGAAAGGGACATTACATCTTTAAAGAAAACAATTAAACCCTTCCCCAAAACTGCTTCTCTTCATGCAAGTCAAATATTTTTCTCCTTGCTCTAAATCGAAGCAAGCTCTTCATACCCCCCATGCCAATTCCTCAGCCCCACCCTGCCCTCCCTTCCCCAAAGTTTATGTGCTACATAAAAGGTAAAAACTATATACACAGGTAGTACAATGAAGCAAATAAGGAAAAACCTAATTGCACAATGCTACATCCAATGCTTTTAGAGGCAGATCATTTAAGAGTGCCTAAACTTTTAGTGTTATTGTGTTGTTGCTTTTCAGTGCTTATATAAGATGTCCATTCAGTCAGCGATATGTATTTAAATTTTTCAATTTATATCTTCCTTGCTTCATCAAGCAGTGAAGTATCTGATAAACAAGGAAACATACTCAATTCTGCAAAAGAAACAAGAAAGAATTAGGTGAAAAGCACTAGAGTAACATTACCATTAAAATACAGAAATTATTTTGTCACTGTCTTAGTTGGGAAATACCTGAGCAATGGAAAAGAAAGTATGTACTAAAAGTTGATGACTACAGTTATCTCCATCCAACGTTCACTTCACTGGATTTTTACTCTCCTCTGTGTTGTGTAGTTTTGTCTAGAGCACTGGTTCTCAACAGTGGGCAATTTTGCCCCCCAGGGGACATTTGGCAATGTTTGGGGACATTTTTGGTTGTCATACTGGGGGTGGGGGGTGCTACTGGCATCTAATGCGAGAGGCCAGGGATGCTGCCAAACATTCTACAATGTACAGGACAGCCTTCCACAACAAAGAAGTATTCGGCCCAAAATGTCAGAGTGCAGAGGTTGAGAAACCCTGGTCTAGAGAATCGGGGTCAAAAATAGTAAGAAAGAACAGATATAGGAGGAAAATTAAGAAACTGAAACACTTAAGAGTACCAAAATTTTCAAACTTGTCTAAATTTGAAAAGTAATTGGAAATGTAACTTATAAAGGCTCTCCAAAGAAAATTCTATTTTTTTTTTCAAAATATTCTAGTTTCTTAGTCATATGTAGAATATACACATGGATACTTTTAAATAGATCCTTACTACTATTTCTAGTATTTCTCTGAACTGGCAATATTGACTAACAAATGCTTCTCTGTATGTCAAAATGGGGCCAGATCAAAATCCAGTAGGTCTGATTCACTGTGGCTCATCTGATGAACAGCCACAAGTCATAACAAAACAAGAGCTGCAAGTATTCAGGTTGCTTCAGGAAAATTTTTCATCCAACCTTCCCACTTCATCTACAGCTGTAATATAGAGGTTCTATAGTGCCATTTTGTATAAGCTCTGAAAAATATCAGATGTATGTGAAGTCATATATATGACATTACGACTTAAAAACACAAAACAACAAAGTTAAAAACAAAACCAACAAATCCCTACGTTCTTTATTTTTAAATTTTTATAAATGAGGACTTAAGTTATTATCAACATCTATTAAAATCTCTTTATATGCTAGGCTATGAGTGTATTTTGGGGAAAAAAAGAGGTCACAGTCCTTGTTTATAAGAAGTTTACAAGCTATTAATATATGTAGTTTGATCATTATGGATAGCCAATCCAAGTAAAGTTGGGGGCTAAATTATTCAAATTAGCTACTCATGTTGATCAAATTTTAGTAGATGGAAAAATCTCCACTTCCCTTGTGCGGGGTAGACCTACCCTGCCAGCCCTGATAACTACTATCCATTTCCCCTACAAATATCCAAATCATCCTGTTACAGTGCGATTAGCATACACATGCTGACGTGTTCCTGGATTGCTTACTCTGGCAGAGTTAATTTAACTTCTGCTTTGCAACTTCAGTGTAATCAGAAATTCTGTAGGAACTTGAGTATTTTTGAGCTTTCCATTTTGCTTTTTTTAAATACACAGCTTCCTTCTCTGTCCCCAAAACTTGTCAGAAAACAGGGAAAGTAACAGTTTATGAAAATGATAAAAGAATGCGATATACCTCTCTATTCACATTTCTAACCGTCTGATTAACCAAATATGAGCCGTCTGGACCTAACTTTTCCCTCAAAATTTAAATTTATTTGCCATTTTTCCATGTATGGCTCAAAATCTGTTACTGACTCAACTTGAACTCTGGGAAATGAATTCTCATGAAGTGGGACTGAGGCATACCCCAGTTCTTGTTCAAATGGGGAAAGAACCTCTTGTTCCCAACATTTTTAGTGGACTCAGGGAATTGACCTTCCTACCCACCGGGCCTTGGTTACAAGTACTTGTCTGGGACACTTGCTCTAGTAATTGTGTGTGTCAAGGGAAAATGACCTCAAGACGTAGAAACTGTGAAGAATTACAGTAACCCCACAGCGAGTCTCAGCCTTCTCCATTCCTGCTTTTTTGACCTCAAAAAATATAAACAAAACAGAAACCCGCAAGCTCTAATCTGCCAGCAACCACTAAGATCAGGTATCTTGGGGTTTGAAAGCCTACGACTTCCTGCAGTCCAATTCGGGTGTTAGTTATTTGCTCCTAGTCATCAACCCACCGAGCAGTTTACGTTTGGCGTCTTCTGAGGCCCGGCTTCTTGGGCGTCTGCTCCACTGAGCCCGCGTTCGGGGAACCGTCTGAAACATTTTCTTCTGTTCTGTTGGCTCTTTTGTTTTGAGGAGAGGAATCTAAGGGCAAGAAGGAATTTTAAAAAGAACACACACAATCTTTATTAGAAAAAAAACAATGGCTGACAGAAGTTGGCACAATAGTCAGGGCATGAAAAACCCACCACCTCCACCCACAATCCTGGATCCGTCGTTCCCAGGGGCCTTGCAGGGCACAAAACGAGGTTGTTTTCACATAACAGAAAGTGTCTTCTACGCCCCAAAGCTTTTTGCTCTCCATAGCGAAGGGGAGGCCGTTGATAAACATCCCATCGTTGTCACATACCTACCCCTGGCTAGCCAGGGGGGACTGCGATGGTTTCAGTTAGAGAAATTATCAGATAAGGCAATCTCAGGCTTCTGACTTAATCGTAAACAGACCAGCAGTCAGCTAGATAGCATTGAAAACCTAAGATTAGGAAAGTTCGCTCCCCAAAAGCTACATCAGAATACGCTGAAAAGAAAGCCGAGGTGAAGACCCTCGAGCAGGCAGAGCGGTGCCCCGGACAGACAGACATTTAGGCGTTTGCAGGGTCTTTACCGTCGGCGGCAGGCCGCTTCCTGATCCCAGTGCACGGCTCCGCTAAGCCCGTCGGGCTGTCGGACGCATCAGTCTTTGGGTCTACCAAATGCGTGTCCTCTGAGTTTGCCTGAGACCCGATTAAAGGCACCGCCTGGCGGTTCGCGCTGACATCCTGGCTCTCCTGCGCCGGCACCTTGCAGGCGCCTTTGGGTGGCCGCGGGGGTCTGTAGTAGAACTCGGGCAAGCTGCCCTTTTCCACCTCCTGCCACTCGTATTTGCCCTCCAGGGGCTTGTGATTCTGGAAATCAAAATTCCACTTGCGCTGGCTGGCCTCTTCCATGTCTCGGCAGTGCTTCTCCAAGTCCCGGGTCAACTCCTCGTGATTCACCGGGCCGAAGAGGTTTCTGCAGGCGGACGGCTTGGGGTACTCCGCCTGTCTGGCGTCCATCCGCTCCAGGCTCGGGCTCCCGTTAGACACTCGCACGTTTGACATCTTCCTCCCGGGTCTTGACGACCGCCGCTCTCGGGAAACACAACCGAACAAAACAAGACGCCCCGACCCGGCCCGGACCCCTCTTACGAGCCCCGCGACTGCCCTCGGAGCGGAGAGCAACAAACACCCCCGAGAGAGCGCCCGAGCGTCAGGAGCGCGCCGGGCTGGGGGAGGGGGCGAGGGGAGCCCCGGCCAGGCAGCGGCGAGCGGCCGCCGCTCAAGCGGACGGGCGAGCGGGAGGGCGGGGAGCGCAGCGGCGCGGAGGGGGCGGCAGAGCCAGTCCGGGTCCGGGCCGCTGCAAGCCCGCGGGTCCCGCGCCCCGAGCGCCTGTCCAAACCTTGCCGGCGTCCGAGCCGTGGAGCGGCGAGAACGTGGGGAGCAGGGAGGGGAAGAAAAACACCCCGAAAAGACGAGCCCCCTTTTTTTAGTTGCCCAATATGGCGGTTGAAGGGAGGCTGACGAAGAAGAAAATGATTGACACCGCAAGTCTATTTAAACAGAGGAGGAGATCCATTGGTTGCGGCGCCGGGAGCCGCGCCCCGACGAGGCTGGCGAGCGCGGCCTTAAGGTGGCCCCGGCGCGGTTCGGCCGCCTCCCCGCCTCCCCGCGCGCCGACTCCGAGAGCGCCGGCCGGAGATTGGCTGGTCGCGTGATTGCTGGAGGTGTACCGCTGCCAACAAACCTGCTCTGGCTGGCCTCGGCGAAATTAAAAATAAGACAAACAAACTAGCCAAACGGCCGGGAAGCTGGGGAGGGGCCTGGGCGGCGGGGCCGGCGGGGCCGGTGGGGCCTTGGGTTCTAGTCCCGGCGCTGCGCTGCCTGGCGCGCGGCCGCTCGGAAGCCCCGACCTCCCGCTCCTCGCTCGGGAAATGAAGGGGCTGGACCAGATGATTCCGAAGCTTTTCCCCGCGCTCGCCGAGCTGGGAGTGCGGGCAGACGGTGGGAGCTCTGCCCCCAGCTGGGCTCTCAGCCGTGGCCCCAACCTCTGGCACTGGGGGGGGAGGCAGGGAACATTCCCTGAGGGGCTGGGAGCCCCGTGCCTGGGTGACTTGGCTGGGGATGAGCAGTGGTGAGCTCCCCCTTAACCTAGAAGTCGCAGCTGTTCTAGGGGAGGCAGGGGGCTTAGGGAAGAAGCCTAGGCGAACGGCTTTCTATAAATTAGCCTGGAGTAGGCGCAGCATTTATAATGTATTCTAAACCCAAGCTCTCCCTCAATAAAAATAAGAAGGGAGTTCAAGATCAAAACCTGGTCTCCCAAGTCCCGTAGCCGTCTCAGACACATTGAGTTTTCAAAACGAGGTTACACCCCTGGCCCGGCTTCTTGCTTCCCGAGCACAGTGAAGGCCGTTGACATGGGCTGCGTGTGGGAACTCGTCTCCTCTTTGTATGTTTCAATTCTTTCCCGAGTTGTAGCAGTTTCCTCTACCTGAGTCCTGCCGCCAAATACAACAGCTCCTTCCTTCCTCTACCTTTCTCTCCCCCCGGACTCGCTGCTTTAACCCACCCAGAACAACATTCAGATGCAAGTGAGTGCTTTTCGAGGCCTCCAAGTCGTTGAAGGGTGACAACAATCTGCAACTCCAGATTATGAAGTGATTTATAAAATCACCACACCATGTCCTCACTTCTGATATTATTATGTGGACATTTCTCTGCTCCCCTTTGCAACTTGAAATTTACCTGTCCATATAATCTTGAGCACGGTGGTGGAAGTTAAAACGGGATGGTCAGGGCTATGATATCTGAGACAGAGCTCAAAGGGTCTTTAACTGCCTCCCCACCCCATCCCCAATACATATAATCTTGGTTTGGGCCCAGGTTAATACATTTTACTGGAAAGTAATCTCCTGCAGTTCTAATAGTACACAGCAACAATGTTTTCTTGTGCATCTGTGCTACAGATGAGTTTGATTTTTAACTTGTTTTCTTCACCACATGTTTGTCCACTCTCTGTGCCTGCCTCACCTCATACTCTCCAGAAGGTAAGAGCTGGGAGGGGCCCTGGGAACCCTGTGGTTCAACCCTCTCTTTTTGCCACTGAGGAAATTGAGACTCAGAGAGGCTTCCTAGCCAGGGACACATATCCAGTTGGTAGCACAGCCAGGACTAGACAGAGGTCTCCTAACTCTCAGGCTGGTTCATTTTCTGTTCCTTTCCTTCCTGATGGCCCCAATGGGTTCAGGTTTTTGTCTGGATTCGCCTGTGCTGTCCTCTGCAAGTGCTCCTCTCTTATAAATGATTCAAAATGGCTCCTTCTCCTGCCCTGGGCTGCCTGCACATGTCTCCTTGATATGGCCTGTGGTCACTGATGTTTAAAGGCAGCTGTCTCTAGCCTTTGGTATCACTATACACTAGTTAAACTAAAATGCAGATTCCAGGATGAGGTGATAGCCAGAGAGCAGTGAGGGAGGCAGTGCCCAAAACATGTTTCAAAGTCGGGACTTCCTACCTGACCAATAGAAAATATTTCACCTGCGATCAGAGTAAGATGTCTCATCTTAATTTTTCTACATTTAATGCCCCACTTAATTTACTGGATTGGAGAAGAGGGGGAGAGGAACAGGAAAATTAGTGTAGGCCTCAATACCATAATTTATACCCTATTCCTGAAATCTGATCATTGTTGAAATTTTTACATAAGTCCTAGACTACACAGGAATTCTATGTTATATATAAGCATAAATTCACAGTCATAAATACACAAACTACCATGTAAATGGAGATATTCTAGAGTATTACACCTTGTCACAAAAGTTTGATTTTATTCATGGAATTAATATCTTACATAAAAGTAGAAAATTAGTACTTCTATCCCCTACACACCCTGAATCTTTCTTCAACTGGTGTGTAGGAGCACCATTTTGTTGCTTTGTTAAATCTTGAAAAGTGGAGCACGCCACCTTAAGACGTCTGGCTGCCGGCTGAAAGGCTGTGCTTACATCGACCTTGCTATGATCTAAAGTGTTTTGTTTACAGTCAAGACACCGGAGATCTGTACAGCAAATAATGAGAAGGCAGGCGTCTGCTGTAGTAGCAACGAAGCGTGAAAAAAATACTATGGAGTCCCCGAGGGAAGAGGGAACGTGGAGATCAGAGCGCCATCCTCCTGCGGAAAGTAGGCGGCTGCAAAAGAGTAAGGCAGGGAGAAAAATTTCAGATAAACAGTGTGAAGGCGGAGCTTCGGTAGAAGACAGAACGTTCCACTTGCACTGCTCTAAAATGGGCTCTGCTTCCCCAAGACTCAGAATCTAGTCCTGGGTGATGTTTTCGTTGTCGTTTTCACTCCTGGTAGTTTCCTGCTGAGAGCTGAGAAGTGTCACATAAGACACCCAAGATTTCTGTGTTCTTCACAAGCTGGGGGGATAGGCAAAGACCAAAATAATTTAAAAGAAAACACCTGTGTGGTAGACAAGTGTCCGAATGGAGTGGCTGGGCAAGCCCGCCCCTCAGATGCAGTCGGCGGGTGGGGGGTGCGGGGAGGGAGTTATACAGCCCCTAATGTTTCTGCACAGGTACACACTTCCTTGCCCAGTTGCCCCTCCCACCACAAGCACACAATTTTAATCCTTCCTTGAGGATGTTTATAACGAGGCAGCTTCTCTCAATTTCACTATTCTCCTAAACCGACATATTTTTAGAGTTTGGAAATTTCACTGTCATCTGTTTTTGACAGCTTTCACTCAGTTTAATAAATATTTATTGAGTACCCTCTATTAACTTGCTTATTCTTTGTTTCTTTCAACAAATATTTATTGAGTGTCTTCAATATCCCAGGCTCTGGGGATTCAGAAGTAAACAGATTTAAAACTGGGAAGAAGCTTACATTCTCGTGGGGGGAGGGGAGACAGAAAATAAACACAGTAATACATGAGTAAAAGATACACTATGTAAGGAGGTGATACATGCTGTGGAGAAACAACAAACAGGGGAGAGGGAAAGAGACTGTTTCCAGGTCCCAGTGTGAACAGAGTGGTCAGGGAGCGCCTCACTGAGAAAGCGACCTTGGAGAGCAGCCCTGAGGACTTGAGAAAGTGAGCCATGTGGATATCTGGGGAAAGAGTATCTCAATAAAGGGAACAGCAAATTCAAAAGCTCTGAAGTGAGATCTTGTCTGATGTATTCAAGGAACAGCAAGGAGCAAGGGGAGAGTGGTAGCAGGAACATCAGATCATACAAGACAATGTAGGCCACTGTACGGGTTTTATCACTGACTGAGTGATGTAGGCAGTCACTGGGACACTAGAAGGTGTTGCCCAGTGGCTTGATGTGATCTTACCATGTGTAAAGCATTCCCCAAGGCATTCTCAGTGGGGAGTGAAAGGACGACTAAGTCACAGTCCCTGCCTTTAGGGAATATAGACCCTAGATGGAGAGACAACCACATGCACAAAAAAAAACCACAGAAGTAGAAAGCAATCCATGGAAGAACATGGTACAATGATGGAGTACAAAGCAGGGAGAAAGAGAAAGCCTTCAAGGAAATGATATATGAGTCAGATCTTGAAGAATGAGAAAAATGTCAAGAAGATTGTAAAGATGTGTTGGTAGGGGTAGTAACTGGGAGATGGGATCAGACAGGGCAGGCCATAGATGGCATGCTGAAAAAAAACATCTGTTTTATTCAGTAAACAATGGGAACTGATGGAGCTTTTGGTGAAAGGAAGAACATGATCACTGTCCATAACTTGCCTCCTGAACAAGAGCAAGCCTGGGCCCTGAGAGACAGTGTCTAGGGGCACAGCTAAATGAAAAGCTGGGTAGACAGTCCCATTATGGTGTTAATCCAAAGGGAGCTAGTTCTTGGGCAGAGCACAGGGGTGAGTCAGGAGGGCAGAAGCACAGGCCATGAGACCAGGATGAGAGGGTTTGGAACAGAGAGTAGGAGGCAGGCTGGTGTGATCTCCTGAGCTACAGAGGCATAGCTGCAGATGATTTGCATGCGGTGCTTACAGCCTTGATGGTGAGCAGAGAGGTAACTGCTAAGGGGCCCAAGCTGTCTTGGACAATCAGATCTTTGTGTTCAGAAGTGACATCTGACAGCGGAGTAAAGAATGAGTATGATGGGCCTGGAAAGGCTGACACAGGGAGGTAATTGTGGAGGCTGACTGCAGTTGCTCAAGCAAGAGATACGACGGCCTTAAGCGGTGCTGTGGAGGAGGGAATGGAAAGCAAAGAATGAATGTGGGATTGCTTAGGTAGTTGGAACAGATAAGGGCATTGGGAAAGATGGGAAGTGGAGGATGATTTTTAAGGACTCAAGCTTGGGTATTTGAGAGAATAATGCCATTAACTAAGAGAGGTCACACAGAAGGAGGATGTAACAGAGACTGCTAGCTGTCCACCAAAATCCATTCTTGCCTTCTTCCTTGGTATCAGAATTATAACTGTGCATACAGCTGCCCAGCTACACTGAATTTCCTAGCCTCCTTTGCAGTTATATGTGGCCTGTGATTGGGTATTTTCCAACAGAATGTAAGCAAAACTGATATGTGTCTTCCAGGCCTACAGCATAGAAACCTGTCACATGACCCCCCTACTTCTGCCTCTCTCTTTCCCCTTTCC